GCTGGATGGGCTCGTATACGGGCTGGATGGGGTCGTATACGGGCTGGTTGGGCTCGTATACGGGCTGGTTGGGCTCGGGTATATATTTCATATAATTATAACTTAAAATACAATACAAGCACTAGCTTGATTGCAGGAGGGCCGAGCTTGTATACAGGATTGGCTAGTATGCAGGCCGGAACTGGAGCAAATCAGTTATCCAAAGGTTCAGCCAATGCGGTAGTAAGAAATTACAGTAGTAATATAGTAAAGTAATAGCTTAAAATAGGAAGCAAGAATAATTACGCGAATGGTATACAGGGCTTGCGAACTGAAGATTGACAAAATCAGCAACTCAGGTCACAGGTGTTCACACAGCACACATTTTTTGCTAGCTACAAAGGAAAGTAGCGTGCAGCATATGCCATATGCAAATGGCCCTCACATCGTTTGCTTTGCTTCATCCCTTCTAGAAGCCACTGCCTGCCTAGAGTCTCGGCATTTGGTGGCACCTTTCGAATTCTTCTGAAGATAGAGCATTTGGAATGCTGATAGCATGTAATTTTTAACGCGTGATTGGGTTTGTCCACGCTGAGTTCCTTGATGTTGCCAATCACCTGAGGTTTGGCCGAGTCTGACTGAGTCTCATAGACATAGCCATTGTCATCCATGTACGTCAAACCATCTTGTTCATCCACTTCCAAATCGATGTCCGGGTCCTCCGAGTGAAGAAGGTGCAGCCATTCCTTTCGAGTTTCCTCCAAGTAGGCATCATCAGGATTTGCTGGTCCTGCGCTGCTGCTGGACGGATTCTCAGAATCCTTTGCATCTCTCACTCCAGAGGTCTTTCTTGGTGCTTTTGAGCTTGAGGCTGAGGCAGACCCAGCAAAGGCATCTGAATTTTCAATCCTCCCCCGCTTCGCAGCAGAAGTGCTAGCAGCGCTAGCGCATCCTTCGTCGTTCATCACGCTGTCATCTATGAGTCTTTTTCTGGAATTGCCCAAGATTGCCCGCTTAGGCTCTGATGGTTTCACTTCCACTCTTACACCAGAAAAGGCTCGGTTTCGGGCCGCACCCGTTTTGCACGATCGCAAAAGCGCTGCCGCATCTTCAAATTCAGGATCCTCCAGCAAAGTGCTTTTCAGCTGGGCTGCCATATCAATGCCTCCATCACTAAAATCAAGGTTGCTGATGCACAAGTATTTGAGAGCAGAAGGTGACACGCTGTAGTCCCATAGAAGCTTGGTGCACCACGACTTGCATATATCGCTTTGCTTGAAAGACCATGCGAGGCCATGCATGGTCAGAACATCTGGGCAAGCGACATTGCGTTGGCCATCCGGGTCAGCAATCTGTCTCCACTGCAGCTCAAGAACAAAGTTCTTTGGGCAGTTCACATCTACGCACCACCCATCCTCATGGCTTGAAATCTTGCAACGCCACAAGTTCATGTCGAATGGCCTGAACAAAGGGTTCACAATCAGGAAGAATTGTGGTTCTGGGCGATTCTCATGAGATGGCAACGAGGAAGCCAAGACCAAAATCGGAGGCTTGCCTTGCCGCCCTCCCTGCTTTTGGATCATCCGGGCCACATTCCTGGAGTGCTGGAGCGCGGACATGACACACTCCTTCTCCTCGTTTGCAAGAGTATGGAAGCAGCCCCCAAGCCGCATGCAGAAGCTGACTTCATCCTTGCTCACTCCGAACTCTAAATCAGTTTGCACTGGCTTTCCGCATCGAGAGCCCCACTCCAAGCTCTTGGTCTTCACAAACCTCTTCTCTGATTGAGCTTTTTCCACGATCTGTTCAGAAACCGGCCAATTGCAATCTCCTGGAGTCTGCAAAGCCAAACAACTTTTACCCCAATGTTCAACACGGAGTTCATCAGTGGGATTTACAAAAACAACATTGTCCAGGTGTCCTGTTCTTGCAGTTGATTGCACGTGAGAGTGAGCGTTGTGTAGTACAGTAGTAGGAGGAGGAGGAGCAGCAGCAGCAGTAGTAGTAGCAGCAGCAGCAGTAGTAGCAGCAATTAGAAACTAGTTCTATCATCGTATTGTTTTTTGTTTTGTCCAACATCTCTCCTGCGGCCCACGCTCCGAAGCCAGTTGCTGAAGTGGGCAAGACAGCAAGGCCTGATTCTGATGCAGGCCGGATCAATGTCAAAAGCCCTGGCCTCCTGCAGCCTGCGCTGCTGCTGGAAAGGGATTGACGGTCCGTGCTGGGCAATCCGGAGGCTTTGTCAGACTTGTAGTCTTGGTTCATGGCTTTTGCTTCGGAACGGAACTTTTCCACTTCTGCTGCAAAATCAGGATGTTTATATTCCTGACTCGCTTCTTTCACAATTCTCTGACGGCGCTCATTCTTGCTTTCGCCCATCAGCCAAGGCCTGGTCGCCAATCGCTGGTCCCTGAACAGAAACCATGCAGTTGTCTTTTTCCGTCCAGAGCCGGCGTGTCCTGAAGGCCAAGCAACAACCTCGCTTTGACTCCCACCAAAGCTCTTCTCACCACTGTTTGAAAGAGACTGCACATTCACATTGCGTTGTTTGAAAGCTGGCTGCTGAACGGCTGTGGGGTCACTTCCAATGAGCACATCGCTGGACATATTTTTGCTCTTGCACTGCACCATGTGAACATGCGCAATTTCAGCAAGACAGTGCTTTGAAGCCATGGTGCTGGGTGCTGGCATCGTGACCCTTGCCTCTCATGTATGACCTGGCAGCAGTCGCGCGTGCAAAGTTGCACTCAACTTCAGCATTTGTGGTTTTACTCGTGGCCAGCAAAATCAACTTTGGTAAGAAGTCTGGTGAGTCAGCCACCTCTTGAGCAGACTGTCCAATATATGCCTGTTGCAAGACAAGTGTGAAGCCAGCGTCGATCTCACAGGCATGTTGGCCTTGCAGCTCCTGAATCAAGTGGATGCGCTTTTGAACAGGCGTGACGGAATGCAAGCATTCCAAAATCTTCCAAGGTGGCATGGTGTAGTAGTGGACTTGCCTTCGCCAAAGATGGCCCTGTATCTTCACCAAGATTTGGAACAGCATCTCTGTTGCCGGGTATGTGTCATTGATGCCGGGAAAACCATCCAAAGCTGGGATCAGCAGAGAATAGGAGGTGAGCACTTCCACAGCAGGGGACTTCAACATAGTTGCATATCTGACCAAAGGAACTGCATCCATCCCATACTGTCCAGACCATGTTGCAAGACGCTGCTCTCTCATGAGCTTGTACATCAAATGTTCTGTCCCAGAAATGCAGACCAAACACACGTATAAGTCGGACACAAACTTTTCGATGTTGGAAATCCAATTTCCTGCTTTCTTGGTCCGTGCTCTTTCTGGCCTTGTGATCTTGTCTCGGGTGTCATCACAAGTTGACAAGAAGTCCTCCAATGTCAGAGGCTCAAGCTCCTCCTGTGCTCTGGAGGCGAAGCAGTCATCTTCCTCTGTCTCCATCATTGATGTCAGCATCAAAAGGTCCTGCTGGTTGCTGCCGCTAGGAACTGCATATTGAAACGGCTTCTTTTTGTACCAGTACAGCCTCCACCATGCTTGGTAGAGAATGCGGTGACACAGCATCCCCAGCAAATAGAATCTTGATGGATCTGCACCTATGCAAAATGACAACGCTCCAGAGGTCCACCACACAGAAGATTAGTCAAAAAGAACGGTGAAACTCACAGCAAAAATTGGTTTGATGTTGGAGTTCTTCAACCTAGCGAGCTTCTCTACGCATAGTCAGCAGTTTCACCCTTAAGGAGTAGGCCAACATGCAACGAAAAAGGTTGCCGGGAATTCTTGCGATAAGCCACATTTCGTCCGCCTGCTCATAGCTGGTGTTTTTGGCCGCTCGGCAAACACCGCATCAAATATGGCCTTCCATGCTTTCTCGAAGGATTCCTGAGAGCCCGATCACGATGGTTTGGGCATTCCGTAGATCGAAACAATAAAATTAGACAGGCCTGTATAGTATAGTAGAGTCACAGTATAGTCTATCATAGTATAGTCGAACGTATTCTGCCAATTGCTGGAAAGAATCTTCACTATTAGCGCAGCACCCAAAAGTGCAACAGTGCACAATGGTAGTGCCCCTCCAGTCCCCATTGAGCATCTTGAGAAGGGCATCTGCTTTTCGTTTTTGGTTTTGACGCACTTGCTTAGTGACCTCTGTATTCATCACCTCCTCTCCACAACCCATTCCATGCAGCAGTGTCACACTCACTGCGTGGCGTGCGTAGTCCAAATGCTTTGGATCTGCCTTGCCATAGCGAACCCGAAAATTCTGCTTCAGCATGATTTTCCTGGCGCGGCCAGGGTTGGCATCACCCCTCTCAAGCAAGCGCCCGTGCATGTATTAAGTGTAATTGTGTAATGCGGTATAGCGGTATAGTCCTGCATGATCAACTCATTGGATCTAATATGAAATACTAATACTAGACTAGAATGAATCTGAATCATATTGTAAGTTTAATTGCAATAGCGCTTGAGCGTATTGATATTAATCTACAATGTATTGTATTGTTTGTTTATGTGTGGGTACTTATATACAAGCCGAACAGACAAACAACGTTCTTCATTTTAGAGCTGAGGGGCGCTGCCTTCACCAAGTCTTGCATTACAGGACCCGACGTAAGAACTGCGGAGGTGCAAAACAATTCGCTCACATACTTGGTCTGCAGGAACGCAATCTCAGAAGAATGGTGTGTTTCATGAAGGTTGCACTGATGCCAAGCTACCTGAGTTGTGAGCTGCCAGGCCATGATAGTCAAATAGATATTATATAGATATGATATAGACTAATCCGGTCCACCTAATAAAAGACACGAGGGCCCCCCCCCCCTAATAAGGAAACCTCGGTCGCATTTTTTTAAATAGGGGGTCCCTGAAATCGGGGGGTCCAAGATAGGGTCACCTGGGAAGAGCTTCAAAACCAAAAAGTAAATCAGTAAAATTTTATATAAAATCCTTTATTAAACTCGTATCAAAAATGCAAAAAAGCTCCAGATCGAAGGGTCTTCCTTTTCCCCTACAAAAACCTTCATTAGAATAGTGATTCTTCAGTAGACTAACAGCTAAAGCTTTCGAAAGGTGATGTCGCTGCGCCATGTGGTGTTGCATGACCTCGGTGGCAAGTGCGTTTGCGTGAGTCCGTGCCATTGGGGGAAGGAAAGCCTGCTGGTGTAAGCGCGGCGTGTCATGGTGGATAGACAGGGCGGACAGAGGTGGGCAGTTACGGTTGTTTTTGGAACCTAATAAAAAAACTCCTCCAAAGTCGGCAATGTTGGTAGTTTAGTAGCGGCTTGAAAGGGCGGTAATTTAAAAACAAATATAAACCGTATTTAGGGGTTTCCGACATGACTTTTTTCTAATAGGGGTCCGTTTTTTAATAGGCATTCGGGATTAATATAGATATAGTCACTTTGGCTAGCTAGGAACCCAAGTCCCACGGAGTACTGTTGGGAGGCCTTCTGTATAGTGCTCTATAATGACTAGCGCTGAAAAAGCTCAGGCGCTGCAATGGTTTGCGAGGGTCTGGTGGTAACAGCATGCCTGAACACAGCGCCGTTGACCTCGCGCCGGTCTGTCACCAAGAACAAAAGGCCGAAGGCAGCTCGGTCGAAGAAATCCCAGATCCTCAAAGCGAACTCTCGGCCCAATCCCAAAAATCCCAGCCCTCGTTACGAACTCTTTCAGTTAGCGCCAACTGAATCAAAAAGATGGTACTGCTCCAATGAATCTACTGCCCTCCTCAAAGGCTGGCACCGCTCCAATTAACCTAGCGCCCTCTTCAAATAATTCACCTGGTACCGAGCTGCCACTAACACGCAACTCTTGTTTTTGTTTGCGTCGCAGTTGCAACAAATAAGGCCTCCACTTCATCGGCCCTCTTTCATTGAGAGCTGCCCAAGTGTGCTCTGCATCGTCGCGCTGCAGTACGGATGGTGGGATGACGATTGGCTCATGCCTTTTCTGTTTTGCGTCGGAAAAGGTAAGACCAGAGCCAGGACCACAAACTGTTTTATTTCCATAAAGAGACTCTCTCACGTACACAGCGTGTACCCTGTAAGTAAATGATCTTATACTTATAACTATAATTATAATATATATATTATATACCTGTGTCAAGCAGCTTTCATGTATAAAACCCATGCACTGCATAGTCTGCATAGTGGTGACTGGCAAGAGAACCCTGAAAACTAAAAAGGACTCGTTGGCCATGGTGCAAGATTGCAACGCATCGCGTCCACCAAGAAGCGCACCACCGCATCATGAGAACCGGGAAAACGCCCCGCGCCTTCTCCATAGTATCGTGGGCTCGGAGTTGCAAGGATTGCCCAGTCTCGTCTACCTCGACCTGAAGCCTGAGACCAAGCAGACTCAATTAACTGGCGCATCAGGTACACGGATTGGCATCCGCTTGTTCATTCATACAGCGATGAACAATTATTTTCACTTATCAAATTTTAAACATACAACATACACCGCCCCAAAAATATGCCGAGCAACTTCTTGCACATGCACTCAGAGCTTTGCACCGCCGCAAGTCCAGTTTTTTGCCTCTGCATGAAAAGCTCGGCAATTGCATTGCGAGCCTGGGTTGGCCACGCTGGTTCAACAAATTGCCCGCGCTCTCGCTTTGGCGGCGGCTGGGGTTGATAGGGTTGGGGATTTGCTGATTGGCAAGGCCGCCTCAAAAAGTGACCCTATGCCCATGCGGTTATCAAATTTGTTTGTTCCAGGTAGCTCGCTGCACATGAAGGTGGCATGCCCGGAACCAGAACGAAGCGCTTCTGCAACTGAACTGTGATGGACAAGCCATAGCACTTGAACTTTTGACTTTCTCTGATGCAGGGTGGCCAAACCTCAGCCAATATTCGCATCAACACTCACTCAGACCAAAAAAATCTTATATATTCGGATACAGTGAGCCCAAACCTGGAAAAAGTGATCTTGAGCCCGTACCGCCCCTACCATGTTAATGACACATGCCGGATCAAAACTTGACATGTCAGTTGCCCACTTAAATGTTACATTGATGGGCCAAGCAAGATACTAGACACTGCCAAGTTTCGTTACGCGTAGCAAACCTGAAGGAGTCCACTGCCTATGGGATCCAGACCCGCCGCGCGGCTTCTTGATCTCCTTGCAAGGTTCAGGTGGCTAGCGTACTGTAAAATGAATCAAATATAGACAAATGATAAAAGCGGTTGAGAGGAGACATGTGTTTGGTCGGTAGAAGCCTGCACGTCGCAAATGACCCACAAGAAGCCTCCCGTTTCGGGCACTTCCATTCCCGCCTGGTGTTGAGAAACCTGTCCCGCTACTTCAAATCAAAATGTAAACTGTGAACTCTCATGTTTTCGTTCCAAGCATCGCGAGGCAAATCGCCCTTTCGGATTGCGTGGCGCTTGCTAACCTGCCCAGGAGCAGCTATTGCGCTGGAGGCATCTGCCGACTTCTTCTTCACTTGCCTGGGTCAACTGGGCTGAGTGCATTACTAATTTATGGTTCCATAACGAGCCGGCTGCCCATCCGCGGCAGTTGCAAAATTAGAAGCTATTTGCGCCCACTGGACCCCAAACAAAAAACATTCAGCAAATGAGCAAACATGTTTTGCGCTTTCCAGAATGCTTCTTTAGGCGAACAAAGGCCATGAGAGCTTTGGACCCACGACGGAACACTGGCTGTCTTCGTCTTTCCGCAGCAGCTTCATTCCTGTCCTCCACCCGACCATCACCGTCCTCATCGGCAAGCTCCTCACACTGAGCGTTGAAGAAGTTCAGCAAGGATTGCACACGTCTCATGGCCCTCACGCTGGCATGCGCGTCACCCTGGCCCTGGTGAGTCGAATCAAGCGAATTCCCCGACGATGATCCGACCCAAAGCTATAGAAAAGTTGCAGGCGGCGGAGGTCGAATTGCTTGCCGGCTGTTACTTTCAGCAAATCAAAAGCACCCGCCATGTACAACGAAAAAGATCGAAAAAGCCACACAAATTCCATATCAATTCACGAACCCCCTACACCTTCGGAAACATGTAGCAACTGAGATGAGCTTCTTTTAGACTTACCCCATGTGCCGCAATGCCTGCCTGATGGCTGCATCCTGTCCATTTCTTGCAGTATTGATTGTACTAATTACTAATTATATACTGTACATATATGACCACAGTCAACATCAATGAAATCTAAATCTCACGCCAGGATTTGCGTGTCTTGACGCGAACCTTCCGGCTCCGAGTGCCACCCGGACTGCTCAATTCCCACCCGCTATCATCTGAATCTGAACCCTCGGCCGGTGAAGGTGGCAAAGGTCCGAGGATCATCATACTCACTGCGTCAGCCGGTGGGGGCGGAAGTCGTTGAAGAACGGCGACTGGTGGTGCATCCCACGACGGAGGATGCGCTTGGAACTTTTGTGCCGGGCGCAAATGCCACAGCCAATGCACACCGATTGCCCACAGCGCAGCTAAAAAAGCCCGTGCCCAATACATTTCCACACAAGTAGCTAAAACAGGCCATAGCCAAAGCAACGCCATGTCCTACCTAAAATATCTGCTGTCCTTAAATTGCCTTGAACCTGGAAGGCACACCCATTCAAGTCATGTCAGGCTCAATGCGCAAAAGACATCAATTCTGGCCCGGGCTTTGTGTTTGTTGTTTTTCTAACAGAAGGCTGTCCGGTTTTCCACAAATTTTGGGCGTTGCTTTTTTGCGTTTGGATTGTTCGTTTTGGTTTGTGTTTTGCAGTTGTGCAGTTTCGTGTCTTTATGTTGTTTTCTATATTGAATTAATTTGTGTGTATATATAGTGTGTTGTTATTTGCGCTTTTGGTTTTGTGTTTTGCGTTTTGGATCCTGCGTTGTGTTTTTTTGGGCTTTGCGCTGTGTGTTGTGTTTTTGGGATTATGCGTTTTTGATTTTGTTTTTTGTTTTTAAGTTTTTGCGTTATGTGTCTTTGGATTTGTTTTTTGCGTTTTTGGATTTTGCGTTTTGGGTTTTGCGTTTTGCGTTTTCGAGTTTTTCGATTTGGATTTTACGTTTTGCGTTTTTTGATTTTACGTTTTGCGTGTTGGATTTTGCGTTTTGCGTTTTGGATTTTGCGTTTTGCGTTTTGGA